CTTAGCATGTGTTTCATTGTCGATTTTCTTCCGTTAAATGATGGACAATACTCGTCGTTGAAAGTTATATTGATCCTAATTTTGTTTTCTTTTTATTTTGGCAGTCCTACCATATAATCTTTTCGATGATTATATAAATTTCATTACTTAAAAAAAACTCTCCTACCATAAACAAATCGATGGAGGATGATAATGGGTAGACATTTTAATGCTTGGTGATGGTTATGGTTGTATTATGAGGCATTTGGAGGTGAGGTGAGGGATTGGGTTGGACTTTGGTATATTATAAAAGGAGACCGTGAGGAGGTGGAATTAGGATTATTTGGTGAAGTTGTGGAAGTGTGGAGGCTCAGGAAGGGTTAGGGGAGACCTTGGCTGAGAGGTGGGGATATAGTTTAAGGATTGATGATATGTGCGAAAAGTTGGAGGACCATGTGGCGGTCTTATGGCTTTCTTTGGACGATCCATTTTTGAGAGTGTATATTTGGGTTATGTTATGGTACAAGGTTTGGGGGGTTGAACAATGATTTTGGGTGTATGAGTGATATTTCTAGGGTTGAAGAGATGTCGAAGGTCGTATCTACGGTTGTGGGAGATGTAAACCAAGAGAAAGAGGATGGAGGTATGAAATATAAAGAAAATATAAGATGTTAAACTCATCGAATTCAAAAGATTTGGGTCAACTACCAAGCTTCGTTAGGGAATTTTCTTGGAACTAACTTTAGAATTCTTTCGATAATTGATTGAAAGAGAGTACAATAGTTGGTTATATATAAAACAAAGCAAATACGTTAATTACTTGTATGATAACTTCAGCCTAGCAACAAAAAAAAAGTAGTTTCAATTGCCATTAATCTTCATGTCTATATGAGGGGCAAACCAAGGGGTTTTAGAGGACTTTTTGAGTTGTTTTCCCTCTTTTAGCTTGCCTTAAATTTGCATTGCATGTCAAGCCTTGAAAGGAAGGTGGAGTGACACTTTATTTGAAGCATGTGTTGTATTTAATATGGGGGCCTGCCAATGACATGTTCTTTTTTCCTTATTTTGAAAAATATAGTGATGATGATGATTTAGAATCTTGATGCATTTCTCTGATGATGGTGATGATCAATTATTTGGGCATGTATGAAGAAGTATGAAAAAAGGTTTAACGAGAATATAAAAATAGCATAAAAAATAGAAATGAGAAGTGACAAATTTAAGGTAATATTGATAGAAGTTGTTCAAACCAAGTTTTAAAAAGGAGAAATAAAGAATCAAGACGTTTTGCCTTAGAGAAGCGAGGTGGATCAAGGCGTAAGCATAAAAAAAAAACACTTGAACTTATAAATAATTCATAAAAATGAAAAAAATAAAATAAAATATAAACATTTATTTAATTCATCATCATAAATATATAAACTATAAATCTTAATATTAAATTTTTTATATAAAATGAAAGTTTGAAATGAGATTAAAAGTAAACACTTATTTAAAACTTAAATACACCATAAAGATCAGGATCCACGATATTCTCATCCTTGCTTTCATATTCTTCATAATAGTCATCTTATGTAATAATTATATCCTCCTTGAATTTTGTCTCATTATCATCTTCTAAACCTTCTTTAATTATAACATTTTTAACTCATATTAATTATAACAAATTCTAACATCCTATGCAATAATTATACCCCCCTAGTTAATTTGTTCATTCTCTTTATATAATAAAATAAAATATATATTATTAATAATAATACATAATAAAATAAATTATAAAACTTAATCAGAATGAGACGCTGCCTTAAAACGCCTCAAGGCGTACGTCTCATTTAAAAAAAGGCTTAAGCCTCATTGACACTAGGGAGGCTTAAGCCTTAAGGCGCTTATTGTGCGCCTCAGTTCGAGGCGTAAGCCTCAAACGATTTTTGAACCATGGTTCAAACTAGTGTGTAATTTATAAGCTAATGATGTAATCATGGAATGGATAAGCTTATTGATGGTAGTTCTCAATAGCAACAAATTGGACAGGATTTATAAGGTAGAATCGAATTTGTTGGCATAAGGCTAATAATGATGATGATAATGGGTGGTGCAAAAATGATGGTAAGGCCATAGGGATTTCTATTGTGGAAGCAATGGTGGAGTGTGATGTTAGCAACAAGATTTTGCTGTGGCAAGACCTGGAAGCCAAAGTGGTGGAATCCACAATTGTTGTGGGAGAGGTTGAACTAGTGTGTGGACTGTCCGGCATTATGGAGGTTGTGATAGTAAGGCTACATAACAGTGGATTCAATATCATTAGAGGCTGCATGAGCATCAAGGCCACATTAGAAATGAGAGCAAGTGGTGCAACGTGACATTTTATCTTTGAGCATACTTTGTGTAAGGTTTGCTCTAGGTAAGATTGGGTGTACATTGGAGTGGGTTGGATATGAGTTCTTTCTGTGTACTGCACCCATAGAAAGAGTTGCTTCGCATGTTTCATTGATTTATTCATTGAATCCTGAACCACATGATACCTCTTGATGAGGACATCTGAGATCAATGGCTACGATCTTGAGATATTTATTTATTTATATGTTTTATGTACTAGTTTATTTTATATTATTGTTTTTCCCGTTATACCCTTGCGGGTGGTCATGTAGTGTTGTATCCCGAAGGGCATTTTCGTCTTTGTTATTTTTCTTTTCATGAGGCCTATTTATAGGCTAGCTTTCTTGTATTGAAGGATGATGAATGATTATTGAAATGAAAATCCACTTTGTTCTTCTTTGTCTTCATGCATGAGAGCTTGAAGAAAGAGAGAGAGAGAACTCCAAGGGGAGCAAATCGCAAGGCCCACCAATCGTTGGAAGAGTCCTCGATTCGTGGTTAGGATTTTCCTATCTTCTCGTTCGTGTTCCCATCCATCTCCTTTCCCTCCCCTCCACAAGGAATCCCTCTTCCCCTATTGCCGCCGCCCTTGTGAGGAGCCCGCCACCGCCCATCTTCCAACTCCGGCCGGCCATCTTGCCGGTGACGTCCCCGTCATCCACCCGACCCCCTTCCATTCACAAAGTTCAAATTTGAAATTCGAAATTTCAAATTTCGAATTCTTTCCTAATTTGGAAATCCAATTTGGGAAGGTTTTCATGAGGTGATTTAATTTCAATTTGAATTAGATTGGAGTTATGAGATCAATTGCCATGTCATCACCCAAATTTGGAAACCTCACTATTTGATTTCCCCAATTCTCCCTTGAGCATGCCGCCGGCCTAACCTAGGTGAATCCACAATTAGTGCCCCTATTTATGTCATTGATGGCACCTAATTTGAATTCAAATCCTAAATTAATTCCCTCCAAAAACCATTAATTCTGAAATTTATTTCAGATTTATTGAGGAATTAACTAGGATTGAATTTCCCAAACCCTAATCCTCTCCTCTTGGAACCCGCCACCCCATCCCCTGTGACATCCCGCCGGCTCTACCTGCTGTCCACTCCGTATTCCAGCAAGTTCCCTTGCTAAGCGGCACCCAGGAAAGCTGCAGGTTGCTGTCCAAGGTGTCCAACAGCACTAGGAGCAAGCTGAATCCTGGCAGACCCGTATTGGGTGCTGTCCAGGGTGCTGTCCAGGGCCTTCCACGAGCCCAGGCTGCTGTCCCAGCTGCTGTGAATGCTGTCCAGAGGGCTCCACACCTTGCCCTTGTTGTCCCATCAATTGGGGAGACTTCCGAAGGCTGTTCAAGGTAGTTATGAAGTTCATATTGCTGTCCAAGACTGAGAAAAGGAACCCGACTGCTGTCCTAAGGCAGAAACAATCATCATCGACACCGAAGTGTCGTGTCTTCTGCTTCTTGTGGTAAAACTCTTCCCCTGGCTCTTTTATCTTCAAAGTTTCTTCTCATTTGCGGTCTTAGTAGATTCATGACGATCACATTAATGCTTTCCCGCTAAAGCCTAGTAATTAGAAGAGTTGAGTGAGGGAACACCTCGTAGTGACTAGTCTTATTGTTAGAATTGGGATTTATTGTTGAAACCATCTATGTATGCCATGTTAGATTGAATTGGCTATTTTACTATCTTAACTCCTATGCATGTAATTTAGCCTAAGCTTGTCTTACCGCTCTTAGTGTTTTGTTTTGTCGTTCAAAACCAACATAAAGTTTATCATTATTGGTTCTAACAATTAAGCGTGCAACTTTCTTAATTAATTCATCTTCGCATGATATGGTTTCACATCACCTCTAGTCCTCTTAATTTTTATTATGTATTCTTCTTTTTCTTTCCAGCAAGGTATGAAATTGTCAATTCAATGTGTCATCTTCCCTGAACCTCAGATATTTATGGTTTCTATTAAGCATATAAAATTATTTTTGCATTGGACAACTTGTTCAGTTGAAGGGGCTATACCACAACCAAGTAATTGTTTAGTTTAAGGAGAACTCTTGAAGCTCATGGAAGAGTAGTACCTCAGTACTGATTTTTTTTTTTTTTTTGGCTTGGTAGCGAAGCATGTCTTTTATTGAACATAATTGAAACTGCGCACTTAACATGGAACGGAAAACACTTTATCACACTTGTTGGATGCTGTGCACTTAACGTGGAATGAAGTCCACTAACTTTGTATGGCTGAATTTAGATTTGGTATGATATTCTTCAAAGTTGAAATAGTATTAACATGTCCACTAGCTTATTAATTATATTTACTTGTTGGTGAATAAACCTTCATTTATGCTTAGATTTAAAGATGGATGGAGTGATGTAATGTCATCCAATAATTTAATATAGATCCTGTTATGTTCCTTAATTTTTAATTTACATTGTGACCTGAAATGTAAATGAAAATTATATATTAAAAAGTAATAATTCTTTTCTCATGCTTTCTTTTACTTTGTTGTATGAGAGAAATATTCTCATCTTGCTTTTATCACCTTTTTATCATTAGTTTATGATCTCAGGTAATCATCAAACTTGGCAGGATTATCATGTTGAGCATGCATCTTCATCATGAGTTCTTTTTCTTACCTTTGATGCAGATCCTCCAATGCAAGAACAGCTAGAGAAAACTCATTCTGTTGGGCATGCATCATATGAAGTTGCATTATCAGTATGATTTCTTTCAGTTCTATTGTAAATATTCAGATTAAATGTTTTTTATTCATATGGCGTATGTATTAAGTAAAAATTAAAAATTAATTAAAATATTCTTAAACTTTCAGGCCAGATATTTGGATATATGGGAGCAAGCTGTTTTAGCAATCAAGAGGGAAGCTTATAGTATCAAGTGCAATGGACCACGTGGTGTTGTTGTGACAGAGAAGTTCTTGCCGAATACAACCGTATGTTTTTTTTCCACGATTAATGTGGTCATTTGGCACATTATTGAAGCAGTCATAATTTTCTTCATCTTTTTGATAATATTTATAAATTTCTTTTGCACTTGTTAAATGTAAAACTATATCAGCTTTTACCATGCACAGAAGGATTTCTTAAGAAACCTTATTTGGGAGCATGTTTATAATTATATTTTAATTTTAAATGTTTTAAGCTAAATTCAAAAGACCATTATCGCATCACTTCATCCTTGTAGATATCCTTGGGTAACCTTGCTTTGCTCCACCAGCTTAGTCTTGTGCTTGTGTGTAAGGTGTGCTTACTTTATCCTCTTGCAATCCTACTCATGCTTGCATGCGAGGAATGCTACCGCTCACTTTCTCCACGCATTTTATGTGCATTTTATTCCTCTTGTGGTGCTCTGGCGTTGACACCTCTTGGCATCAACGTCCTATTCTTCATGCGCTTGGGTAGGGCTTTTGACCTTAATCCCTTTTGTTTCTTCGGTGGTTGTGGTTGAAATATTTTGCTTAGCTTTGAAGGAGATTTTGATTGGTTTCACCTCATGTGGATATTGGCAAAAGGTAGGATTTGAAGGATTACCCTAGGTTGTTTTATGTCTCAGTCGAAATTGAGGAAATCAACCACTAATAATACTAACACTCAGGCCTTAAGGGAGTGTTTCTTACTCCCCCTCGGATTATTTTCAATCCTTCATTTTGTAAATTTTGCCCTATATCCTTCCCTCGTTCTTTTTAATTGGTCTATTTCTCATATTTCCTTCAGCAACTTTTAACCATCATTTAGTAAATTTTGCCCGTCGTCCTCCTCTCATCCTCATGAATTGGTGGTTAGAGATGAACATTTCTAGTTTTGATTCATTCATTCACAGTCTTGTTTAGTTTTGTAGGTTGAATGTTCCCATCCTTATTGTCATTTTCCCTTTAAAAAAACTTGTTGCACAGTTCCTTCTCATTCGTGAGTTGCATTATAGTGGTGTACTCATGTTATCTTTATTTATCACCCTTCAATTATTGTCTCCTCCACCTCATGTGCCCGCCTCACAAGTCACCTGCTTGTCGCGTGCTCATGCCACTTGTGCTCGTCCATCCTGCATAGTTACCGCTTGTACGCTTCTCTTGTACTCAAAACCTTGACCTTCACATCTACACTATGCTTGCTAGTAGCTGAGTTGGCCTGTGTGATATGGAAAGGTGATGGGATGATGCTGGATGCACATTGTTGTTAATGGTTAGAGCTGTGTGGTATGCAGCTAATAGGATGAGATGTTGCTAGACTTGATTAGATAGATTGGCTAGTACCGTCGAGAGCGAACTCCATGTGCACTCCATCTTGCATCTAACTTTCTTACTAGGGCCCCATATCCGTTAAGAACACTTTTTTTTGTGTTAGCTCATGTATAAAACCTCCCAGAATTGTTGATTCATCTCCCACCTCATAGCCAAAGCACATAACAACCATATTTGCAAATCCCTCTTTGTTGTTCTATTAGTGGACCACGAAATGATCCACTAACCCATCGCAAATCATGGCCTTCACAATCACTAATTGCAGCCCATTCTCATGTTGGACCAGCTCGCCCTTGAATTTGTTTTTAACTATATTCCCGCAAGCTAAATACTGAAGGAAAAGGCAACATGAAGAAGATGAACTTAGCTAAATTGCACTGTCGATGCACAATGAATGAAGTGCAATGCCACGCTATTGGATCTATAATATTTATACAAGCGGACAGAAGACGTTCACTGGCCCCTCAAAGAAGCTCGTGCATCTTGCTAATAAGAGCTTAGTGCTGCACAACAGCCTATCTACAACAAGCAATGGGCAACCCACAGCGTAGCGTCAAGTCATCGAATCCGCAACATGCACACAAGCGGACAGAAAACGTTTACAAATTCCCAACTGAAACCCTGCATACTTCTCGGCGGCAATCATTTGCACAGTTGATCATTACAAAAACACCCCATGCATTGAAATACACATTGAAGTAGTCACATCATGTATATACACATTATAATATATAAAACACATCATGCCTTAAAATATGATCACCCACATGGGCACCGACGTGTGTGATGCATGTATGAATGTGACGTCTGAGGATGTTGTGTAAGTCAAAAGAATGAATCTAAGTTTAAGCCTAATCCTCCTATGAGAATAGATAGGAGTTGACATGGCCCGAACTATCGTGCAAATATAAGGTTGTGGCATCGACCGAAATATTTGTTTTATACATTCAGATTAGGCCTTCAAAGTCTATAATAAAGAAAATTAGCTAATAAAAGCCTAAAGCTAACGAAGAACCTGATCCTTTGTTGACAAGGTTTGACTAATAGAACGAAAGTGCCTATAAATACCCCGATGATGGTCATGTTGATAGGAAATCTCAATCGGATGGGATCACAAATATAAAAATGCCTCCCAAATTCTCATGGAAATACAAAACTCAAAAATCACACAAGGCCTAAGATATTTAAAATTGAAATTAATCATCAAATACTTAAAGTAAAATCCATCAACTCTCTGTAATAATTTGTTGAGGTGGACAAATCTGAAAATTACTTCAGCTCATAAAGAGCAGATGTTTGGTCGAGAATATTACTAGTATTCATTCTCAAATAGTCTCTTGTCAGTAAGGACTTGACACGTGTCCTCTAACCGGTGGTTTCACCGTCAAATGACAGCACAGGTAAGCGGTTATGATCGAGACCCTCTGAACCGAGTGGTTTTGTCGCCAAATGGCATCATTAAATTACTATCATGTTCAGAGCCCGCATGTTCCCCAATGACTTCAAATCATTGAGCAATGAATCAATAAGATATGATTGATAGGGCACAAAGCCATTTATTAGCTAATGTGGATTTAGATTTGTCCCCTTAGACAAGTATTCATCCCAGGTCTACAAGATACCTTTGACCGAAGCAACCCATGGTTGCCAACAAGGATCCTTCTGTCAGGTTGGATAGAATACCTCCTCTAACTAAGTGAACTAGGGACCAAGTTGACCCGGAACGACGAAACCCTGGGATCTTGATCGGGTCTATCATCACTCTCTCATCATCCGCTCTAAGTGTAAAGTTGGTAAATTTCCAATTTTAAATATTAATTTTTTTTAAATACCAAAACATGCTGCTACTCTATTCCAAATATTACATATCTTCTTGACGACTAGCCTTAATCGAAAGTTCTCTCTTGTTATCGAGAGGAATAATTAACTATAGGGGCTCGCGCCTATAGGAAACTAGAACCCAGGTTATAAAGTCCTCACAAAATGAGGGCAAAATCTATGGGTAGCGTCTTATTTAATAAAACCCAATCTGCCTTCTGAAAATTTGTCTTGGAACTTAAACTTTAAAACTCTCCTCGACGACCCAAAAAGAAAGAAAAGGACCGCGGAGAGGGCAGGGCGTGAATTTTCGGAGCCCACACTATAGTTGTACGCTTGAAGTTATTGTACATGGTTGAATAAAGGTCCAAAAGTAAAATTAGGAACTACATAATACGTATCTAAACTACAGTTGTGTGCGCTACTTGGTTTTTATATTTTTTCAACTATTGCCTATTGAGAGTATTCTTTTGCTAGAAATTTCCTAAGGTAATAGTGCTCTTTTCAACCACATCTTGCAAAATTGCTTATAATCTGTCTCTTTGCAGATTACTATTCCATATGGACACGAAACAGAATTTTCAATCCAATGTTCTAATGGTGCTGAATATCTTTTGAGGGCCAGAGACAGCTGGTAACTGTTTAATTGTTTTCTGTTTTGTTATTTATATTGGAATAATGTAAGTTAACAATTGCGCTTTCTCCTGAGAGAGAGAAGACAAGATTTCCTATTACATGATGTGACTGTTTTGATAGTTTTTCCCTAATATGTTCAAACTTGATGATGTGCCATATATTTGGCTAGTTCATTTATCTGTATTTTTATTTGACAGGTTAAGAGATACAATTGTGCTAACCCTGAGATTGTTCAAAAAGATGGTATTACTTCAAACTATTCCTGATATATTTTGTTAGTTTTCATTCAAGAAAAAATATTTTTTCTATGTATTATCACTGCCCGTAACTTGTTTTTTACTTCTTGAAATTGCATTGTGCTATTTCTGCATTTTTCAATTGCTAAACTAGCGAGTATGTGCTCCTCCGTTATATTATAAGGCATATAACCATGGACCAATTTGATTTTGTTAATTTTTTTCTGTAATTGATGTCCATTTTGCTTTCAATATAACTTTCTTTCCCGTATATCCCTTTAATGTTGACTTATTATGTGGGTGGATAAGGCATACTGGTGTGATTTTTGCATGTTAAGAGATGTGGCTAAAAATGATGCTTAGTGATATAACCTAATAAGTGGGTATTTGGCACTGTAATATTTTAGTTATTTAAGTGTTGATTTAGTGGAATAGTGTTTTGAAAACGTTGAAAACACCTTGGTGTTTCTTGAACTTTCTGAAACTGTAGTCATACACTTTTGAAAATTGAAAATAATTGTGTTGAGCTAAATGCATTTCAGACTCAGCTGTTTTCTAAATTTCTTCATTTAGCTGCATGTCAAAATAGGCAATAGAGAACATAAAACAAAAAGGAATCCAAACATGGACTTTGTAGCTTAAACCACTGTTGATGTATGAGTTAAAATCTCTTCATTTAGCTGCATGTGTTACCCAACTTTATTTTGAAAGTGTTTTGATCCATGACTCAGCTGGGGTTCTCAAGGGACCAAATAAAGCCCTTTCATTGTTACAAGGGATACTCGTATGGATGCATGGTGTTGCAAGACTCAAGAAGGTTGCTTAGTCATGGGGCTTTTGGATGCTTCTTCCGTTAACAACTTTGGTTTTTCTATCTTGCTTCTGCTATCAAATTCACAGAAAGCACACATGCCTAACCACTAGCTACTGCAAAGGTTTTAGTGGGGAAATGTGATAGGTTCCACTTGAATATTCCAAGTGATTCCTATCGGATTCTTGCCAAAACCCAATTATTCCACTGTTTTCAATAGAAAACAGCCACCAAACAGTAGAAAAACTGAGAGAATAAGGAGAAAACGTTGGAAAACAATAGAAAACAATTGTATTCCCTTAGTAGATGATCAAAACCAAATCAAATTCTTGATCGTATATTATCATTTTATTTACAAAATGAGCTCTTACAAAATTAATTCCAAATGCACAAACAATAATAAATTACTGATTTCACAGCAGCTGATGGAAATTAATTTCAGATAATAGATTCAGGAGAAAAGAAGCCACAAACACGATAGAATTATGTGGTTTGAGTTCTGACAACCAATAAAAATTTTGTGCGTCACCTGCGCTTTTTACTGCGCTTTTGACTTGCGCTTTAGTTGCGCTTTACATGCGCTTTTGACTGCTTTTTTACTTGCGCTTTAGTTGCGTTTTGCCTGTGTTTTACTTGCGCTTTACCTGCGCTTTACTTTCGCTTTACCTGCGCTTAATTTAAAATATTATTTTATTAATATCCGGACCTATCTCTGAGTTCGGTCATCTGACCCAATAATTTGTCCTCTTTAACACACACACACACATAAATCTTACGATTTTTAAAGGCTATCTTCCTCCTTCTCACACAAGAAGCCAAGCCGAACTCAAAATCCTAACTCTTTCTCCGGACAGCTTCCTCGCTCTCAACCCGAATCCAAAAAAACCCAAATGAATGAATCGCAAAAAACTTCTGTACACTTTCTTAAAACCCACAATCGGATTTTATAAAGGAAAAGACCAAACAACCCTCATACAAGAAAATAAAGAAACCGGACAAGGAATAAAAGGCATTAAGTTAATAAATTTAATTAATTGAGTAATTAAATTAATCATCTTATTATTTTAAAACACATATATCACATTCTCCAACTTGATTTAAAATAAAAGAAAGAATAAAGAGATTGACCAAGCTTAAAATCATTACTTACACAATTTAGCAAATTTAGATAGTGTGTAAATTTGTTAGGAGGAACAACTTTTGTAGGTATTTCTGCAGGATTTTCATCTGTAGAGATCTTAATAAGCTTTATGGCACATGAATTTACCAAATCACGAATGAAATGGTAACGACACCTTCATTTTCTACAACCTCCACTTCAGGGTCTTCTATGCATTGGGTTTCGACGCCTTCATTTTCTCCTTCAACAAGCTGAAATCGCGGCCGAGTTGAACGGCCGAGTTGAGCATTCATTTAATTTGTGACCAGGTTAAAAACACCTAAAGCATTTGTAAGTGGCGGGTTTTGAATAAGGGTTGTCCTTGCCTATGGGGCGTGGTTTGGCAAGATTGGGATCAACCACTGGTGTGTTAGTTGGTCCTGTTTAAGGAGATGATTGTTTTGGCTTATTGTTTGCGAGTGCAACTTGTGGCTAGCTGGGCTGGTCATCGAGGTGTTGACAACGTACTGGAATTACTGCAGGAGTGCCTTGTGACCTGGATCTCTACTTTGAGGGCAAAGTTAACAGTTTGAGAGAGAGATCATACATAATTTAATTATAATTTATCTTATCAATTATCTTTCAATCCACCAATATATCGAGCCACCAACTAATTTTCTTATTCATTCAGACTGTTATGGACACTCAAACGGTAGAATTCTTCAGTATAATTAGAAACACTACGGTTTTCTTGAACACAGTGTTTAATTATATTGTATATACAACATCTGTTCGAAATCTATGGGGAGATAATGACCCCTTAATTAACAATTGTTTCATGCCGAACCAACTAAGAATATCTCCTTTCACATCCCTCTGCCGAGATTGTAAAAGTTGTTTTCACTAAGCACTAACTCCTCCCTTTAGCCTACATGCCACATACTTACGTGCTTATCAACAAGGATATCCATATACTCAAAAAAGGATTTGACCGCTCTCTCCCAATCGAGAAATTAAATCCTCGATATGTAGTATGCCATCAAAGAAGGGTATACCGAGCTTTATACAAAACTCTCCATTTGGTCTCGGATTACGATCAAATGGTTGTCTATGCAAATTATGTAATGCAGCTTCGCCATTATCAGAATCATCATAGTCAAATCGTTGTGGGGATTCTACTTCCTCCTTTGGTCCAACAGATTCTACGAAGTGCTCTGTTTTTCGTCATATCCAACCATGCCTGATTGGATTTCCTTGAATAGGTTGAACATAAACTAGGACTGTTTGGCGAGTTGTAGGGTTCACCCTTTTGCGGCCCCTGTTGGTTTGCAACTCCTGGCGAACTTCAACGAAGATTCAATTGAAATTGGCAGAGAGTTCATCCAGCTGCCTTGCCATTCTGGTTTGATCTCTCTAGAGGGCCTCTAAACTCTGGTCATCACCATGAGCATTACGAGGGTTTCCATCTGCCATTGCTTTACCATGAAGAGTTGCTCCGATATCAACTTGGTGTGATACATGCACCGAGAGTGAACAGGCACCGATAAGGAAGAACAATGAAACTTAAAAAAGCAATAGAAACAAGGATTTCTTAAACATTGATATAATATCTACTGTCTTCTTTCTATGTTCTCCTTTCATTGTATCTATCAGGTCCCCTTTCCTTACTAAGTTTACTCCAAGCAAATAAAAAGCTCAAATATACTATTTTAGCTAAAAGACAAGAAAAGATAGTGGAAACCAGAAAATAGGATACGCAGTGGAATGTTATGCTGAAGTTGAACCCGGTCCATAGAGAAGCACGGCATCAGAAAGCATCACATTTTGCCACTTATTAAAATAGCAAGAAGTATATGATGATGAGAAAAATGTCCATTTTACCCTTGATTTTGTTTTCATGCAATATTCAAATCAAAATAAAAATGATTATTTTTCCAGAACAAGAAAAAAAAACAAATAACATAAGTGATAAGAGCGAGACGAAGAGGAGTGAACAGGGAGAAAGGAAACTCACAGAAACTAAACTTTTGTTATTCAAATGAAAATAGAGTAGAATATATAGGAATAATGTAAAGCCAAGGGGCTGTAACGTCTTAATGACGTGGCAGCTAGTCATACACACTTCTTGTATATCTTACAGGCCTCTGCAAACAAATGACGGTGGAGCGGTGATTAGTTTGTTACATAGGAATTTAAATCTTCGGATTGGAAGAGGCTTGGCAAACACGTCGGCGATTTGATCGTTGGTACATATGTGGTGAACGGATAAATGTTTTGAGCGAATGCAGTCTCGAATGAAGTGGAAATCCATGTCAATGTGTTTAGTTCTGGCATGGTATACCGGATTGTTGGCAAGTGCGATGGCGGACGTGTTGTCGCAGTAGATGATTGTAGGTGTTGATTGTGGAAGGTGAAAGTCCTCGAGTAGACGGCGAAGCCAAATGACTTCTGAGGCTTCGGATGCCAAAGCTCGGTATTCTGCATCGGTGGAGGATCTAGCCACTGTAGATTTCTTTTTAGCTTGCCAGGAGATAAGTGATTTACCCAGAAAGTTACAATACTCTGAAATGGATTTACGGTCCTAAGTATTGTTGGCCCAATCGGCGTATACATAGCCTTGTAAATTTAAGTTGTCTCGGTGCAGAGGGATGCATGTAGATGTGGATCCTTGGATATATCGAAGTAGTCTTTTGAGGGTATCAAAGTTGCTGTTGAGAGGAGCGTGCATGTGTTGGCTTAGTTGGTGCACGGCAAACTGGATGTCGGGGCGGGTTAGGGTGAGGTATTGGAGCGATCCAATTAATTGGCGATAGAGATGAGGGTTGGTGAAGTCCGTGCTGCAGCTAGTGGAGTTGTCGGGTTTGCAAGAGATAGGAGTGGCTACGGGCTTTGAGTTTTGCATGTCAGCTCGTTCCAGGATTCTTTTGGCGTATTGCTGATGTAGAAGCACTCCATAGGTTGTGTTAGTGGTTTGGACGCCGAGAAAGTTGGCTAGGGAGCCCAGTTTCGGCATTTGAAATCTGTCGTGGAGACTGGCTGTAAGGCGTGTGATCTCTGAGGTTGAGTTGCCAGTGAGTAGTATATCATCGACGTAGATGAGGACAGGGGCGGATCCAGCTTCTTTTTTCAGGGTGGGCAAAAAAATTTTTTTTTTTGTGGGGATGGACAAAAATGCCTAGGATTGATAAAATTAGGACAAAAAAAATTTTTGAGGGGGACAAAATGCCTAAAATACTCAAAATATTCCAAAAAATCTCCTATAAATATTAAAAAAAAAAATTTGAGGGTGGGCATTTGCCCACCCTAAGACTAGGGTGGATCCGCCCATGGATGAGGATGTAGAGTTGATTTGTACCCGATTTATATGTAAAAAGAGAGGGGTCAGTGGTGCTAATGGTAAACCCGAAATTTTGAAGGTGATTAGATAGAGTAGCGTACCATTCGCGTGGGGATTGTGCGTGGGGATTGTTTGAGTCCGTATAGAGCCTTGTTTAGTTTGCACACGTGTGTTGGGTGTACGGCGTCTTGAAAGCCAGGTGGTTGCAGCATGTAAACTGTCTCGGATAGTTGGCCGTGCAAGAAGGCGTTGGAGACGTCGAGTTGGTGAATGTCCCACTTGAAGTGAAGAGCTATAAGAAAGAGGACGCGAAGTGTAGGAATTTTGGCGACGGGACTGAAGGTCTCCGTGTAGTCGATTTCGTGTTCTTGATTGAAGGAGAGGGACAAGATCCCAAGTTCCTTGAATTTGTAAGGCTTGGAATTCTTGTGACATGGCGGATAACCAATGCACGCTTTTGATTGCTTGGTTGTAGGATGTGGGCTCGGCGTCATGAATGATATGGGAGAGGTTGAAGGCTTTCTTTGGTTTGGAGTGACCCGTCTTGGATCTGGTAGCCATGTGATGAGTGATAGGTTGTGAGATAGGAATGGTAGTGTAGGAGGTGATATTGGGTGAAGGTGGGATGTCATGTTGACTGTTGGAGGTTGCGGGTATGGGAGGATCCAGTGCGGGTGAAGAATGGATAGTAGATTGGGTTGTGATTGTATGGGTAGTGGGATTTGGAATGTGATCGCTGATGGAGAATGGTAGATCGTTGGTGGGAACAAGAAGGAGAGGGGGAATCAGATGTGACGGACTATCGTTGGTTTGGTATTGGGTTGTAAGTTGGTTGAAGGGAAATATTTCTTCATTGAACACTATGTGGCAGGATGTGGAAGGATGTGTAGACCTTGTTGTTTATAGGATCGAGACAGTGATAGCCTTTCTGGAGATGGGCGTAGCCGATAAAAACACACGGATGGGATAGCAGTGAGAGTTTGTGAGAGGAGTACGGCTTGAGCCAAGGGTAACATAGAGAACCGAACACCTTCAAGTTGCTATAATTTGGTGGTTTTTGATAAAGAATTTCGTAGGAAATTTGTTGAACGTATTTGGAGATGGGAGCCGATTGATTAGGTGGACCGCGGTTATCAAAGTATCAAACCAGAGGTAGGAAGGTAGCGAGGCTTCGATGAGCAAGATGCGAGTGATCTCAGTGATGTGGTGATGTTTACGTTCGGCCATGCCGTTCTGTGAGGGCGTATGTGGGCAAGTGAATTGGTGAAGAATACCTTGAGCGTTGAGGTAAGTTTTAAATTTATTGTTGATGAATTCGCCTCCGCCGTCGGTGCAGAGCTTGCGAATGTGAGTTTGAAATTGACGTTCAATCATTTTCTGAAATTCGAGAAATTTATAGAAGACGTCCGACTTTTGAAGTAGAGGGTATATCCAGGTGTATTTAGAAAAAGTCGTCAATGAAGCTAACGTAATATCGAAACCCATAGTTAGAAATAGATTGGGAGGGACCCCATACATCTGAATGAATTAATTCGAGCGGAAACGAACTATTATTAAAAAAATTTTGAAAAGGTAGGCGATGGCTTTTGCCCATCCTACAAGAGTTACAGTGTGCAATAACGGAAGTGGTACAAATATTTGGGAAGTGTTTTCTAGATAAGAGAGTGTAGTCGCCGAAGGGTGTCCAAGACGCTGGTGCCAGAGATCGGGAACGGGTTGGATGGAGATGAGTGCGAGCTGGGACATGGCAGCGATCTTGTTCTTGACCGGGCAGAGAGGGTATAGTCTGTTAATACACAGACCCGTGAGAAGAGTGTTGTTGGTCGTCGGGTCCTTGATTTCATAGCCAGGAGAGGAAAAGGTGATTATGCAATTGTTGTCAGTAGTAAGTTGATGAATGGATAACAAATTGAAAGAAAGATTAGGAACGAGATTTAAGCGAGATAGTTGGAGGCTACCTTAGGGTGTGGGTAACATACCTTTGCCGGTGGTGTGAATGGGGAGCTGCTGTCCGTTACCGAGTGTAACTTGAGTGGAGCCGGTTTAAGGTTGCGAAGTTTGAAGCTTGTCAGGTCCGAGGTTAGGTGAGAAGAAGCTCCACTATCAAGATACAACTCGGTAGGTGGAGGAGGCACCGGTGACGTGAAGAGGGCGGTATTGGGCTGTTCGGTGTTATATTGATCGTCGTGGCGGTGCCAGCATTTGACGGTGGAGTGACCGTTCTTGCCACATATTTGGCATGTAATTGCATGTCTAGGTTGTCGTCCACTGTTGACCTCGTTTTCGGCATCGGTCACTCTCACTATCTTGTCTTGCATTTTGTAGATTGAGCCACCTTCTTGTATGTGATTTACTCCTTTTTGATCATATGTACTCTATTTTATTCTAAAATACATGTGGTCGGGTCGATGACAATTCGATGTGATTTCACGCATTTGGGCCTTTATCGTGCATCTTTGCTCCGTATTTAATATCTTTTGATCGGAACTTTGTTTTGTGAAACGGACTGCTCGAGTGCATTCGGCTCGTC